CACCTGGGTCCCCCCAAATGGGAAGGAGGTGGATGGGTGACAGCCCCCCATGCACACCCCCCCACACACACACACCTGGGTCCCCTAAGATGGGAGGGAGGTGGATGGGTGCCCCCCTGTGCTCCCCACCCCCAGACACCTGGGTCCCCCCAAATGGGACGGAGATGGATGGGTGACAGCCCCCATGCCCCCCCACCCCACCCCAAGACACCTGGGTCCCCCTGGCTACCTGCGTCCCCCCAAATGGGAGGGAGGTGGATGGGTGCAGCCCCCCCTTACCCCCCCATGCCCCCCCGGATGCCCGAGTCCCCCTCGTGCTCCAATGGTCCCATTGTGTTCCTTTACATAAGGCTCTGGCTGCCAAATCCAATTAGGATCCGGCCCCGGCCAAATCCTGGCTAAGCCCCATCCCGCCCGGCCTATGGGGACCCCATGGGTGTCCCGTGTCCCCCCCCCGCCGTGGTATCAGCTTTGTCCCCGCTCCCCCAGCCGGAAAAAAAAATGTCCCCAGAAGATTAACGAGCATGTTGGGAATGTCACCCGTGTCCTCGTTTGGGGGGAAATGAGGGCATTTTGGGTCACGGGGCTGTGCTGGGTAAAGCACTGTCCCCACAGTGGGGGGGGTCGGTGGGGGGCCCACCCAGACGCCTGGGTCCCCCCAGGCCCCCACGGGCAGCAGCACTGGCCCGAGGAGCACCCGGCATGCGGGGGCCGAGCCCAGTCACCCATCGACATCCGAACGCAGTGGGCGCAGCCAGACCCCTCGCTGCCACCCATCCGCCCCGTGGGCCAACCCGGCACCCCGGCCTTCACCCTCTCCAACAACGGCCACACCGGTGAGTGGGTGCTGGGGGGGGGCTGGGGTGGTAGTGGGGGGGCTCCCCACATGTCACAGCCCCGGCTAAGAACCCCCCCGTGTCCCCCACCCCAGCGGTGCTGGCACTGCCGCCCTCCCTGCGGCTACAGGGGCTGCCACGCAGCTTCGCCGCCGCTCAGCTCCACTTCCACTGGGGACGGCCCGGCCACGCTGGCGGTGCCGAACACCTCCTCGATGGGCACCGTGCCCCTGCCGAGGTACAGGGTGGCCATAAGGGTAGTGGTGGGGGGTCCCAAAGGAGTGGGGGGGTCCTAAAAGGGGCTCCAGCCTGGGAAAGGGGCTGGGTGTGGGAAATGGCATGGGAATGGGGGGGGAAATGGGTGTGGGAAGGGTCCTGGGTGCAGGAAATAGCATGGGAATGGGGTGGGAAATGGGGGCAGGAAGGGGGCTGGGAGCAGGAATTGAGTGCAGGGAATGGGAAATGAGTCTGGGCACAGGAAACAGGCAGGGAAATGGGTACGGGAAGGGGTCTGGGTGTGGGAAACGGCAGAGGAAGGGGGAGGGAAACAGGTCTGGGTGCAGGAATCGAGGTCAGGGAATAGGAAAGGGGCCCCGGTGTGGGAAACAGGTCCGGGCACAGGAAACAGGCAGGGAAATGGGTGCAAGAAATGGGTCTGGAGGTGGAAAATGGGTGCAGGAAAGGGTCTGGGTGCAGGGAATGGAAAATGGGTCTGGGCACAGGAAGTGGGCAGGGAAATAGTGGTGGGAAATGGGCCTTGGGGTGGGAAACAGCACAGGAATGGTGTGGGAAAGGGTCTGGGTGCAGGACCTGGCACAGGAATGGGTGCAGGAAGGGGTCTGGGTGCAGGCATGGGAAAACGCACAAGAAAGGGGTCCAGGTGTGGGAAATGGGTGCAGGAAGGGGAAACAGGAGTGGAAAGTGGGAGCAGGAACAAGCATGGGACTGGGTGACAGGACCGGGGAACGGGTGCAGGCAGCAAGTCCAGGTGCAGGCAGCGGGTCCAGACACCACGGAAGGTGCCAGGATGGGTGCAGGCAGCAGCGTGAGATCGGGTGTGGGAACTGAGTGTGGGAAAGGGGGTGGGTGGGGGACAGAAACCCAGCAGGTGTGGGTTGGGGGGGGGGTGTCCCTGCTCTGCCCGTCCCCTCCCCCCAGCCCTGCGCAGAGCCACTCTGCCCGCAGATGCACGTGGTGCACTACGATGCGGAGCGCTACACCAACGCCAGCGAGGCGCAGCACCACGCCGGTGGGCTGGCCGTGCTCGGTATCCTCCTGGAGGTATGCAGACCCCAAAATACCCCCTGCCCACCCACCAACCCCCCAGCCCTGACACACACACCACCCCATGCCCTTGCTCCCCCCAGGTGGGTGCTGACCCTCACCCCACCTACAACAACATCCTGAGCCATCTCGGGAGCATCCGCTATGCAGGTGAGCGACTGGCGTGCGAGCGAGGGGGTGGCAAGGGGAGACAGGAGGGAAAGCATGTAGCGGCAGCAGGGGGATGACCCCAAACTCCCCTTCCATGCCCCCCGCAACTGCTTCCCCCCCACTCCTAGGGCAGACAACGGCCATCCCCCCCCTCCGCGTGCAGGACCTGTTGCCCCCACGCCTGGACCTCTACTACCGCTACAACGGGTCCCTCACCACCCCCCCCTGCTTCCAGAGCGTCCTCTGGACCCTCTTCCAGCAACCTGTCCGCATCAGCCTGGCCCAGGTAGGACCTGCTTTGGGGTGAAAGCCCCTGGTTTTGGTGGGGGGGACGGGACACAACAGACAGACACACGATGACAGCCCCAGCGCTCCCCCCCTCTCCCTGTTTCAGCTGGAGCAGCTCCAGGGAACCCTTTACACCACAACAGCGGCCGAGCCAGAGCCCCAGCGCCTGGTGGATAATTTTCGGGTCCCACAGGAGCTCAACCAACGGCTGGTGCTGTCATCCTTCCCCAGGGGTGAGAACCAGCTTGAGGCAGGGGGGGTGGGGGGGAGGGCCCCCCCCCAAATGGCTCCCAGAGCCCTGGCTGGGTGCGAGGCTGCGGCGCTGAGCCCCCCGGCTCTTCTCTTGCAGGGCCCAAGGGGTATTCCACAGGTACAGCCCGGCTGGGGGCAGGCGGGGCTGGGATGGGGGGTTCACCCCCCCACCCTGGTCCCCCCTGAGCCCCCTGCTACATCACGTAGGTGAAGTCATTGCCATCATCTTCGGTGCAGTCTCCAGCTGCCTCGGGCTCTTCCTCGCCATCCACTTTGTGGCCAAGAGGATGCGGTGAGAGGCCCCCACCCTAAGGAGGGACCACCCCCCCCCCCGTTGCAGCAGGGAGCCCAGACCCCCCAAATCAGAGGGTCTGGACCCCCACAGGGGAGGGTCGCCCTCACCTCAGCCCTTCTCCCCCTGTGAGGCAGAGCAAGGAGGGCACAGGACCAGGATGTGGTGTTCAAAGCCTCCTCCCACCGCACCCACTCTGACGACGGCCCTCGCCCTTGAACCCCCCACCCCAGATAGGGCTGTGACGGACCCCTACCACCCCCCAGCCCTCCACACCTGTCAGAAGAGCTGGCTGGGACTCAGCCTGATGGCAGTGGTGGCTCTTGCCCCGGCCTCACTGGAAATAAAGCCCCTTTCCCACTCCATGGCACTGGTGGCTCTTTGCTGGGGAGGGAACGGGGCTGTTCACTGATGGGCTTTGGGGCTGGATCCTGTCAGCCCCGAGAAACCAGGAACACCTGGGTGCTCCCCGCAAAGCTGGGACAGGAGCTGGGAGCAGAGCAAGCTGGGGGGAAACCGACCCTTCTCTTCCCCCCGCTACCTCACCCTGTCCCCATGACAGAAGTCGCCTCAGTGCCGTGGTACTCATTGATCTATTAAAAGGGTTTTACTTTGAATCGAAAAAATAATTTACCCCCCCTCCCAGTTGCACAGCAGGGTAATGAGTGCCCCCAGACATGACCTGGCAGGGAGCAAAAAGGGGGTGAAGGGGGTAGAGTACCCCCCATCCTGGCTCCCCCAGCCCTGAGAGCACCACCCTGCTTCCGCAGGCGAATGGCAGGAGGCCACGTTGGGCCAGGGCTGCACCGAGGGCAGGGGCGTCCCTCAGTGGCAGGCTGGGGGGAAGAAAATGTTGAGGGAAGGAGGATGTCCTGCCCTGAGCCCCCCAAGCCCAGCTGTACCACAGGGCACCTGGCCCCTGGCTCCTGCCTCCCCTGCACTCCCCCTGCAGCCATACCCTGTAAGGAAAAAAGTCTAACAGAATTCACTAACAAAGCTAACAGGGTTGCTCACGAGCACCAGTCAGACCCCGAAAATCCCCTCTGGAGCGGGACAGGACACAGAGCCACCTCTTGTGTCACGGAGAGGGGCCAGGGGCAGGCCAGGCGGCAGCACCAGAGGAGCAAACCGCAGAGGCAAAGGCAGCATCGTGATCTTCCAGCTGCCGAAAAGAGGGCACTTGGGTACGGCAGCAGCACAGGCAGTGCAGGCAGCAGGAGCAGGCAGGGCTGCGCCCACCGCTCAGTCCTCGAAAGGCACCTGCAGTGCGGAGTACATCATCACTCTGCTGTCGTCCTCCTGCTTACCTGGGGGGGCAGAAAAGGGGGAGAGGGTGAGCATGGCAGGGGAGCAGGGTTGTTTTGGGGGTGCGGGGCCTGTTTGCGGGTTCACAGGAGCCCCCGGCCCCTGTTCGACAACAGGGAAACGGTTACAGACAAGACCCATCCTCCCCCATCCCAGCAGCTCTGGGCCCCCCTGCACCTTTGTCCAACTCCCCCCAACACCTAAAAGGGGATAGAGACCCACCAGCAAAGCCCCCTGTGTTGCACTGGAGCCCCCCATCACCCCACTTACAGGAGAGGCACTTGAGGATGTTGCGGAAGGACCCCCCAGCAGTGAAGAAGGCCCAGAGGCCCGTGCAGAGGGTGATGATGAAGATAGGGACCAGGCTGGCTTCATACCAGGGGTTCAGGAACGTCTGGGGGAACAGAGAAAGCCATGTTAGGAATGTCACCACCTGCCAGCCACCCCCACAGCCCCCCCCAAGGAAATGGGACCCTCCAAGCAGAGCAGAGCTCCGGTAAGCCTGGCTTAAACTCCTGTTGAGTGATTTCCCACCAGCAGCTTAGTGGCTAATCCTCCATCCCATCCCCAGTCCTTCGTTAACCCTCCTTCTGCCAAGCGCACCCCAACAAGCAGGAGGTGCCCAAGAGGGCCGTGGCTCACCCCACAGCTCAGAGGCGGGGATTTAGGGAGTCTGAAAGAGCAGCAGGTGTCCCTGCATCCCCCTCCCCATGCCCAGACGGATGTCTGATGACAGCCATGGCCCCTTTACTTTGGGGATAGCTTGCAGTGCAGATTCGTTTGGCTCTGGCTCATCAAACTCACCAGCCCCGAGGTGAGGAGGTGACTGGCAACCACCAGCCCCAGGCACCAGTAGCGGCGTTTTTCACAGGCGTCGAAGAAGATCACTCCCCAGAAGGTGTGGAGCAAGACGAGGGCCATGGTGAGGAATGCTGGGGGAAGAGAGCAACACAGACCCCCTCAGACCTTGTCATCACCTACCTCCTCCTCACCTCGGTGAAGGGCCACACGCCAGGGCTGGACTCCGGCTCTAACCGGCGCTGTCACAGCATCCCGGCCCCGAGCCCATGTCCCGCAGCACATGCTGGCCCCCAGCCTCACCAGATGTGATGAAGTAGTATGGTGAGTCCCCATGGATCCCAACGATGCCTGGCCCAATGGAGTCTGCCAAGATGTTAATGACGGAAAACACGCCACTGATGATGCCAAAGGACAGGCCTGAGACTACAAAGGGAGAAAGGAGTCAGCCAAAAGTGATTGTGGCTGTGCTACCTCCACCATGAGCCCCAGACTTGGCGTGTGGGCCCAGGGAAAAGCAGGAAAGAGTTGGGAAGGCTGCATTAGCCCAGCAGGCTCATCAACACTGCCATTGGTTGTTGATACCTGAGCATCCCACTGCCAGGCAGCCCCAGAAGAGCATGGGGAGGTCAGCAACAGCCCCAGCCCTGCCCAGGTTCGTGCTCACCGTAAGCCATCTGCCTGAGGGAGATGGGGGACCGGCCATCCTCGCTGATTGTTGCCAGGCCTTCATCCGCTTTCCTGCTCAGGCAGGAAAGAAAGTGTGAGCGGCTGGTTCAGAATAGGGGCCTCGTCATACGGGAGAGGGGAAGGGATGGTTATAAACGAGCCTGGGGCGAGGAGGAACAGCTCTCTCCCGGGATCTAACGAGGAAGATACTTTGTGGGGTTCCCCAGAGAAAGACCGGAGGTTGGACACTGACTGCAGGTACCAGAACAAGTCACCCAGTCCCACGGGGCGCGCACAGGCCACCCTCGGACAGGCTCTTACTTCAGCAGCTTGAAGTAGGCAAATCTGAAAGCCTCCTGCAGCAGGACGGAGACGGCAGCACCGAAGATGAGGAGGCCATACTGCAGCTTGGCATCCTCCCGGTCGCTGAGATGGACCGAAATGAACCAGATCAGAGACGCCAGGAGCAGTGACACCAGCCAGAAAAATGCCCTGGGGAGAGAGGAACACCAAACTCAGGCTCCAGAGCTCAGAATACCACAAACATGTGCCAAGCTGCTTGCTTGGTTTGCCCGGGTTCCAGGTCACGTATTCATGGGCTGCCTGGTCACTGTCACATGAGGAGGGCATGCAAAAAGAAGCATACGGCTGAAAACCAAACAGATTCAGAAGCTGAAATCCTCCTTTCTCAGAGCCACGATGACTTGCTTGGAGGGAAGCTGCTGCCCTGCAAAGCAGGGAAGGATGTTCAGTGCTTCGCCCCTTGAAGGTTAAACAAGGGTCTGCCCAAGCGTGGCGGGACATGGCTGCTGAGAGCCGCTCCCCTTTTTAAACCAGCAAATCCCCCACGCTGACACATGGGGCCGGAGTTATGATCCTGGGGACCGACCAGGCGCAGGAGGAATGAGATGAACACTTAACATCTGGAGTGTCACTGCTCCCAGCTGTGGCTGTCCCAGCACGAGGAAGGTTTTTGGCTTTGTTTCCTCCCCGGCCAGCATAAAGCCCATGCCTGCGAGACACACGAGGGACCATGGTGCCAGGACTGCCCCTGGCATGGCGCCTGGCACAGCAGCAGCTGCATGGTTAGAGGCAGGAACGGCTCCTGTGATCCAGGCAGGGGGCTGCTGAGCTCAGGCAGAGATGAGGCTGCAGCCTCCGGGTGTTTTGCCTCCGCTGGGATGTCGTCTTTAAGCTGGCTGTTGGGAGACCCCAAAGCAGGGTGACCCAGATATGGGGACAGCCCTTCCCACCCCCTACAAAATCATAGCCCCATCCCACCTATGCAGGTGATTTCCCAAATCTTCCTCAGGCTCCCTCCGTCCAGGTCCAGCTTGTCCCCAGACTCCCCAGAACTGACCCCAGGGCACTGCTTCACCCACCCCAGACCTCCTCAACTGCCTCAAGATCTCCCCTTCAGCCCCTCTGCATGCTGCCTTGGCCTGCACCTCTCAGACACCCCTAAGCCCTCTCCAGTGCTGCCTGTCCCCCAGACTCACTTAGCCCCCCCATCTACCCTCTTGAAGCTGCCAACCCCCCCGTGGCCTCACAAGCCACCCCAGAACTGCCCCCCCCAACTTCTCCAGCTGCCTCCTAGACCACCTCGATCCTGCCTGCCTCATCAGCCCCCTATTGACACCTCACCCCCCTGCTACTGCCTGCCCTGCCCCAGACCACCCCTCATCTGCCTCAGAACCTCCCCCACAGTTCCCTCAGAGCTGCCTACCCACCAGAACACCCCAACTGCCCCAGAACTACCCCCCCAGCCCCCCTCAGTGCTCTCTGACACCCCAGCTACCCCCAAAAAGGCAACCTCAGCCCCCCTCAATGCTCTCTGACACCCCAGCTGCCCCAGAACTCCCACCACAGGCCCCCCTCAGTGCTCTCTGACACCCCAGCTACCCCCGAAAATGCAACCTCAGCCCCCCTCAGTGCTCTCTGACACCCCAGCTACCCCCAAAAAGGC